TTTGTCCTCCAGCCCATGACCTACAATTCAGTCAAGGTCCAATATTATCAAGACTATTATTTAAATGTGTCTCAGGTCTGGCTGGTATGGAATCATTACTGTACTATTAATATGACTATGTAATTGCAATACTGTAGATGAGGAAAACTACTCTATTGATGTTATCTTAATTGCTGGACTGAAGCCTGGATATAGGAGTTTTATGTCAGGAAGAGCATCTGGCGTAAATATGTGGATGATTTGCCGCTGTGGGAACCTCTCACATGAGCAGTCACTTTCCATGAAGCCCTGATAAAGAAGAGACGTGAGTGGGAGATGGGAGAAGCCATGTTAGCCAAATGGAAAGCTTCCCTCAAACTCTGACTTTCCAGACATGCAAGATTATGTCAGTATTGGCTTTTATACGATGACATATGAACGTCACTACATCACTTCCAAGTATAATATAAGTAGATAGTAGTAGTAGTATTATAAGCATCTTAATTAGAAGTAAGAATGTTGAATGCCTGTTGTTGAGATTGAATCATAAAAGCATTATGGAAAATGTAGAACGAAGAATGAAGTGAAGAATGAGGGAGGGCGAGGGGTTTAGAGGGTACAGGGAAAAGTAATTCACTTGACGAGAAACTTGACGAGATGATGACAGTAAGTGTCACATTGATGAGATATAACAGTGCGAGAGGATCTAAGAGATGACATACTCAGGTATGAAAGTGTCATGGTAAGGGAAAAATGAGTCAGGGGTTCCTCGGCAGATGGGGAGAAAACTATCTTTACTACGTCTTTGTTGAGGTGTTACATGTGGAAACTTGATGACAGTCTGAACTAAAATATACCGACAGTGGAGCAGTTACATAGATAGACACTTACGCGTTATTGTTTGTAGCCAATCTGTCCGTTGGCAATGTGTTTGTGTGTGGGACTGAGCGAGTCATTGCACTCCTCATAGCTCTACAATGAAATAAGATTTCAGCCGTTTTGAAATGGGAAAATATTTTCAGTTCATTGTGAAACTGTGGCGGGACTTTTTTCATTGTGGCAGAGGATGTCAGTTGAGTAGGTGGTCTGTGATGAGCTGAGGTGGGAACACACTGCCCCAAGTTAAACCTGGAATTAAAATGTGATATGTATCTGGGTAATTATATCCGATCCAAGGACCTTTGCATTTACCCCTGGTATCAATCAATACTGCACAATATGGGGCTGGGAGAGAGGCAGGCTGCTCAGGAGGTTAAGGATGCCTTATATTAAACTTCAACCACACTCTTTGGAAATGTTAATTAAGTTTTTGCCAGCTGAAATCCAAATACAACATCTGCTCTGCTTGCTACCCACAAGATATGTTTTTCATTTCACGGTGTCTTTAAAAATGTGGTCTTGCTGTATAGATTACATTTTACACCCGGCTGAAATCTGATCTGAATGCAAGCCACCGTCTCCAGATGTGGTCTGGCCGTTTTGATCACATCCCAATCACAATGCATTCTGCATTTACAGGTCAGGTTCAAATGGGGTCAGTGTGTGTGATCACTAGACAGGTGACGAGTGGCAGTGTCTATAACCTGAAGAGCTGGCAGCAAAAGAAACCATGACAACCAAGAGTGGTTTCAATCATGTCACTGCTCAAGCCTATTGTGGCACTGTAGTTAGTACGCATGCTGCCAGGCTAATGGGGAGGAAATGGATCATCTGTTGACCGGGAGGCTGATTTACAACATTGTGCTTTTCAAAACAAAAAAGATGTATGTATGAAGATCAAGTACAGTATCCAAGCGGCAGTTTCTGATCACTTCAGTGATGCGGACAGTATTTGACGGTGTCTCACATCTAATGGATGCGTGCATCTGTATCAACTGTCACCTTACAGCTCCCTACTATTTATTTGGCACTTGTTCCACTCACATATGATAACACTGCACTGCAAATGTCTTTATTTTTTTTACTGAAACCTTTTTGGCTGAATATGAATAATTTTATCTCTTTGACCTTGTATTTCTTCTCAGGTTTTACGTACATCACACACGGACCCATTATAAATAACTTACTTCTGAACTTAGAACATGTGATACAGGCATTCACAGGTACATAATTACACAACGCCTCATGCATAAGGCAACCTCAGCCCTTGCTCCTCAAGCTGAGCTTGTACCAAGTAGTGCCTTTGGCCTTGTTAGTATAATTATAATTTCTTTTCCAGGCGCTTTCTTTGAAAATGAGAGACACCACTCACCTTTAATAGTGATAACACCTGGTATTTTCTTGCCCTGTTCTAAATACAGGGACTGAGCGGCTGAAATGAACCCAGCAGAGGAAGCAGACGGCTTAAATGGCAGAGGGGATGAGAGATTGTGGTGACAGATCAGAAGATGTGAGCTGTCTTCACTCCGTGGTATTTGGCAACCTCTGACACTGGACCCGTCGCAAGTAAGTAGCAACTACACAGAAGGTATCCGTGGCGGGCTAATTAACAGAACATGCTAATGAGATGATTTGTCCATGACACTGCTGTAACCACAGAAGAGGAAATGATAAAAGGGGAAGGGCAAGAGAGGAGGAGAGGAAAGAAGCAATCAGCATGGAATTGCGGAGAATGATATTTAAAGGTGATTAGAACTAATTTATCGAAGCTTAGCCATCGCCATGGCGATCTGCTCAATTGCAGGTGGAAATCATGAGTAAATAGTGTAATTATTTAAGTAAACGACACTGAACAAACAGAGCACTTCTAGCACTGTACCTTTTTTCAGCAGTACTATCTGTATAACAACAGATTAGTTTGAAAGGATATTTAATATGTTGGGAAATATTATTAATCATTTTCATTTCGCCAGAGAGAGAGAGAGATCAGAATATTGCTATCGATCTCATGAGCACGTTAAGTGCATTTTTAGCCTTGTTTAGCTTAAAGAGTGGAAATGGTGGCAAAGAGCTAGCACAGCTTTGGCTAAAGCAAAAAATTAGACATTTAAAGATTTGCACAATGTGTCTTGCCTGTTTAACATGCAGTAACATAAGTGTATTATCACTCTAGGGGATAATGAAAGTCCAATATTCAGTCTCCTTTTAGCTCTGGTTTGTTCTTGAGAAATTCTTGAGAAAAATTCTTGAGAATTCTTGAGAAATTCTTGAGAAAAACATTCTTGAGAAAAACATTTGACTCTTTAGCTGCTTAACTGTTTGCACTTGTCAAACTCCTATGTTGTTTGGTGCTGTGTAGGCAGCATACAGTGAATTTTTAGAGCTTTTTTGCTGAAAAGTAGTAAGAGAAAGCCAATATAAATGCACATGTATTTTCTAATGAATCATTTTCTTTGAACATGCAGTTTGATATGGCTGTGTGAGATTATATCTTCACTTGGTCTAAATATTTCCTACATCCACCTACTGGCAATTAACTCCAGTGAAAATCGTGAAGTGCAATTGAACTGCTTTCCCATTTTCATTTTCTTACACATTCCTCTGTCAACCAGCAGCCCTCTCGTTGTCTCCTTTGCTTTTGACATCAGCCCAGGTTATTTTTAGCTCCATCTAAGGGGAGTGGGAGAGAGACCGACACACTCCCTTATAGATGGGTGGATGAGAAGAGGAGGAGGAGGAGGAGGAGGAAGAAAGAGGAGAATGCGTGGGCGCATTCAGGATGGGTGCTTATCTGAATATTCATAGAAACAGCTGTGCTCACAAAGGTGTTGAGATGGAGATGAGCACGCATGCACTGCTAAAAAAATCAATATAGGCCTTCGCCGCTGAGAGTTTGGATGATAGGCTTGACTAATAAGTGGAGCATACTAATGAGTAAGTTACGTGGGACACGCCGATGTGACTGAGCAATGACTTATGAAGGCGAGCCATGATTTGTCTCGGCCTAAGTGACAGCAGAAAGGAGATTTTATGTGGTGTTGTACTCAACAACCATATAAGGTTCTTGGCTCTCTGGCTAGGGAAATCTCACTGAACAGTTGCCTCCAGTTATAAAAATGACTCTTAAACAGTGAATGTGTGGTTTCTGACGACAGATCTTATTACTGGTACATCTAACTTTGTTACAAATATAATCAACTTGTTTATTTTAGTAACTGGAGGGTATTCCAGAGAAGCAAGTAAACCAGATCTGTTTAATCACATTCCTGCATTTTTGCATTTTCTGAGATACCACTTTACAATAAGACTACCCTTATAAAGGATTTATAAATGGTTCAATGAAGTTATTAATTTGGTTGTTAACACTTTATAAATCATAAATAAACAATTATAAACAAGTTATAGCACAGTTTTCATATATTGATGCAGGCTTACTATTTGGCAAGCTCAAGTTAATGCTTACTACTCATTAATCTTAGTAAGTATCCTACTGAGTTACTATTTATAACTGGTAAAAGGCGCCTTATTGTAAAGTGTGAAACAACAAAGCTTCTTTTACCAGTTATAAATAGTAGTAACTCAGTAAGATACTTGCTTAGTAAGATTAATGAGAAGTAAGTATTAACTTTTAAACAAAATGATTATTATTATTTTATTTACAGTTAACTGTCATTTCAAATTCAATTGAAGGACTGAAAGAGCCCACTATATATAACATTCGACTGATAACAGCAGCTCAAAAGGGCAGAAGCCAGTCTTTAGAAAAAATTAAACTATGTGGTATAAAGATAATATATATATTTTTAAATATGTGTAATATTGTTACTTTAGATTTTTGATCTTTCCATTCAAGTGCTGCTCTACAATATTCTAAAACTAAAACTTCACTTCTGCCTGTCAGATCTGTGCAGTAGATAACATCGTGGCTGCTGCTGTAATGTACTACAGAGTGAGTAAAAAGGTCAGAGAGAAGGAAATGGTGGTCATATCAGAACTGCTGCTTCCTGCTCTCCAAACGCTCCGCAGGAGCTATTTCACTAATTACACTAAATTACATTTCAGCAGCACTTTCCCAGCATGGTGAAAGGAAATAAAAACCATAGAGCTTGTTTCAAAAATCAATTTTTGCATTTAATCTAGCGCTTTGTCAGATTATGGTAAACAACAACAAAAAAAAAAAAGTACAATCTCACACACATTTAAGAGAGACAAAAAAAAGCTTCTCGATAAATATATATATATTTGGTATTTCTGGGTATTTACTTAAGGAACTGTCTCAAACTGTGACTTAAGGTAACTTCATGCACACCAAACACTCGCAACAGCAGTGAACAGAAATATTTCTGCCTCTTTCTAGTTCTCTCTAATACTGGCCTCAGCTTACATGAACCGCACCTTTACCGAGAAATACTGATGTTGCAAGTAAAAGGCACTCAGAGAAAAGCTGGGCCATGCCAATGAACTCAAAGCAGATTGACAACAATCACTTAAAAGCAACTGAACAGTTTCATTCCAAAACCGTGGATATTTATCAAGTCTGGATAAAAAAAAAATACAATCGGAAATTTACTGGTCAAAAATGTGAAACGATTACAATTTAAACTCACTGCTACACACTTGAAATCATTACAACCAGAGAAACAATAGTGTAGGCAACTGTATAAAACTGACACACACATTAGGCTATGTCTAAATTTGCTGTCTAGACAAAACAGAAGATTAATAAATAATTTACAGTCCACTGAAGGATGTTTGTAAGACACTCACTGTTGGAGGTACATTCAGAAATGTGGCTACACTCTTAGTTGGACACAGTATTTATGATATGTCACTTAGAAGAATACTCAGTATTTCAGAATAAATGTGTGCGCACACAAATGAACACATCAATACTGAAAGGGATTACCTCAGATCGTCTCAGGTGTTGTGAGGCAAACCAAAGGGGGAAAAAAAAAAAAGATTAAGTGTAGCTTTGGTGTGTGCGTACACACACATACACACTCATACACACACTTCTACAGCTGCTGCTCCACATGGAAACTGTAGTAACTCCATGCACAAAGAATTAGACCGATCATCAGTCAAACACGAGAACGTCGCTACAGCTGACAAGAAGCTGCTGGGTCTTCCTTAAAATCACATCGCCTGCTGCTAAACACCACACACTGCTATAGCTAATGTGGCTAACTTAATGCTACATTTTGGCTCCTCAACTAAGACGGAGGAGAACTAACTTGATCTATGAGGAATGACAGGTTAAACCTGGTTAAGCCTGCGCCCAGGGAGAAGTTAACTTAATGTCCATTTCTCACATCTGGTCGCCTGTATAAACAATAGTGTAAATCCTTCCTCGCAGAGCTGGAGAATGCAGGGTACAAAGAAAGGAAGAATTGATTTTTCCCCACTGCTCAGACGTAAATGTCCAATGGTGTCGCCTCTGTTTACTTCAGCAGGAGGTGAGGATCAGAGGAATCAGGTGGACAAGGATGAGGGGCTTTATTCACGTTGTCTTTGTTGGTCTGTGTTCACTCAGGCATGTCTGTAATGGGATTTTCCTGTCATACAATGCACAAGTCATCTAGAAGTGCTGGGAGAAAGCAATTTCATCTGCGGGGACTGCAAATGCAGACCATTACCTCCAAAAGCTTAATACTTCACAGAGTGGTGATTTCTATTGATCCGGCTCAGCTGGATTGTGGTTACCCAACACGAAGAGGAAGGAAAACTAGCAGGAAGGAAAAAGGGTTGACCTTTGTACATGATAACACTGAATTGGACTGGAGACAGAAACATGAGGAACATGAAATAGTGGCTGCATGTGTACAGGATTAGTCACCCTTGGGGGGAAAAAAAAAAAAAAAATTCTTCAGCATTAACTCTTTTTGCATGATTTTGCCTGATTCCCCACTTCCTCTCCAGATACAACCTCTCACTGCTGCTTGTACTTTTGCCTAATAAGCAGCCGCACTGGAGCAGTCGGAGACTAAGTGGCGTACGTGCAAAAGGGCACCTCAACAGTGGTTTTGTAAGGAGGGGAAATCATGTTTCATTTACCTCCAGACAGGCTAGGTTTTATACTTGTGGTCATGCGCTTCTCTTTCAATTACAGATCCCCTGGAAGAACAGAACTATTGTCCCTCTATAAACCAACTGCACACTTAAACTAGCATGCGCAAGCACAAACACTGTTGAGTGTTCCTTTGATCACTTCTAAAATAGGCTGATCCAGATCTTCCTGACAGGCGCACACACACCTCTTTAGGGTGACTGAGCGCTGTTGAGCCACAGATAGAGGATCAGGAGGTGTTTAATAACTATTCCTGAGGTACCTATCTCTCATACATTTCCCTGACACAAAGAGGCCAGTCTTGGAGCAATGATCTATAATGTGCTCTGGGCTCTGTGCTCCACTGGATCCCCAGGTAAATCCATAACAGGATGGAACAAGAGAGGAGAGGGGGAGTTGTTGGTGTGACGCATACTTTACGCTGTCTATCTGCTCGGGATGTGCGATGATGCCTTTGCTAAACTGGCATTTTCTGAATACTGACTCACTATCATAAAGTTTCCCTGGCTCAATAATGTTTCCAGTATTATCAAGCTCTTCTACCCTCTGCCCTTGTGCAGAGCAGAAAAGCACTGACGTCCCTAAGTCTACTTGTTCAGTTTGTCCTTCTCATTCAAAAAGTCCAACTTGAAGTGCTAACAAGGATCTGACTGTCAGTCCACCCACCATCACAAAGTGCCCTGATCAGCGGTGAAGAATCCACCTTCCTTCTTTTTCTTTTTCCTCAGTCTGTGGGCCCTCCAGCAAACGGCTGCCACGAGCAGCATCAGTATGCCAGTGCACAGCAACGCCACCGACACCACTTTGGTTTGGAGCAGTGTGTTAAAGGTGAACGTCACTCCGGTGCCCGCCATGCCAATCACTAGTGATATCACACCGAATGGAAACACGCAGCGATACCAGGACTTCTCTGTCCCGCCTGTAGCCTGAGCGAGTCGCTCCAGCGTGGGGAGAGACTCCGGAGGTTTGGCTGGTTCTCTTCCAACGCTCCTCTCCTCTTCTCTTCCCTCTCCAAGCCCATTCAAACCCTGGTTCTCAAAGTCTTGGGGTAAAGTGTTGGCTTCGCTGTTGTTGCCGCAGTCCAGGTCCGGATGAAGGACAGGGGCTGGGGGCTGGCGGCCCGAGGAGCAGCCCATCCTGGAGCTGCTCTCCTTGGATAACGATGCAAGAAAGGCTGGCGGCGGCAGTCCTCTCAGTGTGCGTCCAATGATTGGTATCGGTGCTTATGACGCTATAGGGGGTTTCTCTAAAGCTGCTTCTGGGGCTGTCAATGCCAGGGAGGGTGCTGCCGTTGTTGCTCTCAACACTTGCCAGCATGTGCCTGCGTTTGCAGAGAAAGAAAGAGAAGAGCTGAAAATAGAGAGCAGGAGCAAAATAGGGCAAGATGTAGAAGAAAAAACAACTACTGGGCGAACATGTAAGCTGAGCTACAGACTCAAACATTCACAAAGAAAAGGGTAACATGAAAAAAAGGTTAGAGAAAAAGGAGTGCAAAATAGAAAATGTCCTTTTTACAGAGACTAGCTGCAGAAAGGATCCACTCACCTCGTATTTTCAGTGTCCATGAATGGGTTTTTTTTTTTAAAACAGCCTCGTCTCCCGAGCTGCTTGCAGCAGCAGCACGGTGAGTGCGTGTGTGTGTTGTGATGCCGATGTCCATAGACTATATAATCACAGAGAGGAGGAGGAGGGGCCTAGGGGAGTGGTGGAAAGGATGCGGGGCTCTGATTGGCTCCTCCAGCAGAGAGATTTCAGGGAGGAGGGGAGGGAGTGAGGTAAAGTGTTCAGCGGTCTCATTCACTGATATTAATTCATTATTTAGTGTGACGAGGAATTTGAGATGTTCCGAAGGTAGTGCCTTGTTCCCGTTCTGCTGCAGGCTGCAGCTTCAAAGAGCGTCGGTTCACCATCCAGTTTTGTCATGCCCCCAGCACTGATTTGTTGTCGTTCCAGGTTTGGCTGGACACGCACACAGTGTGTGTGCAGCACCTTCTGCATGTCAGTCTCTCATCTCTCCACGTTTTTCACAGTTGCTGTCACACACATTGTTGTTATGTGAAAACCACCAATATCTCCATTTTCCTATAAGGCTGTGCAGATTTCAACCTCAAGGGTGACGACGGAATATCATTGCTGTTAGGTGGAAACCTTGTATCTCCAGAATGTCTCCTGTTCAACATGAAAACCAGGTGCATCCCTAGCCTGACTACTAAAATTGCAAGAATATTCATCAGAGATTTGACAAATATACCAAGCAAATGGCATCGGTGATATGTGATTCAGGACTTCAGTGAGAACGTCCACGTTATTTAAAACACGGCTCTCCTCTCCTCTCTCTCTCTCTCTCTTTCTTCCTGTTGTCCCACATCATGTGCGTCATGCGTGTTTCCCTCCACAAAGACATAACAGCCAGCCTCGTCACGGTCACTGTCCTCGTTAAATTCCCCCCCTATATGTCCCCTTGTTGTTCACACTCCCCTCTCTCCTCTCAGACAATGACCGTGGGACACATGAGCCAACTGCATCCCTGGGGACGGCTCACGTATCACCGGTAATAGGTCATACAGTGCGTTATGTGTAAGTGCATGCACATGTGTGTGCGTGCGTTGATCTATATTCTCTGTGATTTTCTTCTTTTCTTGAGGCGGTGAAATGTTCCATATCTGCTGTAATTATCCCATGTCCGATTTTGGCTGATATCTCAGAGGCACGGCTGCCCAGGAGGCAGCCCTAATCTCATTGGTTGAGTTCAACCTCAAGCGATGGAACCACAGAACCACAGCGAGGGTAAGAGCAGCTAATATTCGAAGTCGAAATCATAGCAGCTGATAGCTGAATCGAAGATGTAACTGGTTTAACATGAAGTTCTTCTAATGGCGACTCAGAAACAACAACTACACTCACCACTACACAAAAGGCTCTAGTTATATGTCTTTGAGTTTGACATGTAAGCAGTGCACATCAGCATTCGTTGTATCTGAAAGTTGTCAAGGGCATTGGGTTATAGTTCTCAGATTGATTTAAAATATCATTTGATAGGTCATTTTGAACTGCAAGCTACAATTGTTTGAATGTCAGTGTAACCTAGACACCAAAATGACAGTAATGACAATAATAAATTGGTGGGAAATAACACCCAGTCCATTGAATGGGAGCTCTTTATCTCCCTCACCTTCCTCTGTCTGTGGCCTCAGTAAACAGGTAGAAGTGAGAAGTGTTTTTCCAACAAAATGCTAGAAATCCTTTCTTTGTCCTTCATATGAAGGATACTCTTCAACTTCACACCTGTTTTCAGTCAGCACTGTTAACAGGTGTTTTTCACAGCAGACATTTTGACTTGTCATGGCAGGATATGTGGACAGGTGTTGCATTGTTAATGGTTAATTTCCCAAGAAATGTCCCAGTATGCCATGTCAGCATGGACAACACCAGGCACAACAAAACATAATGCAGCCGTTAAAAATGCATAAATAATGGCATTCTTATGTTTCCTGCTACGACATCACGTCAGATTGTTTACAGTAAAAATGATCAATCGAACTTGAATTACCAGGTGCAGCTAAATAGTTTAATGCTACAAGAGGAGATGCAGTTTTAAATTGGGAACTAAAGGGTTGCTCGTCATTTGAAAAGTCAAGTGCAGAATTTTATTTGATGTTTATAGGAGTCACTATTAATAATTTACTTGATATCAATTCTCCTCCTATGTTCCCCAGATTTACATGGCACATAATGGGAACCTCTAAAGTCTAGGACTTTGGTCGTGGTCACACTGGTTCACAGCTGGCATTAACGAGGGTTCCAGTCCCCACCAGGTGTGGCGATTGGAACCCTCGTTAATGCCGTTAGCTACACCTGCGCTTTTCCTGGTCTGTGATTCAAATGATCGAATCGTGTTTGTATCAAAGCTGCAAGTCTAATTTTAAAGTTTTTCTCTACCTGATATAAAATGACTGTATGTGTCAGTGGTTGACTTGATGGGTGACTGCCTCGGTGATAATTAGCGATATGCAGCTAGTGAAGTGGAAAGCACCCTTGTTGTTGGATTCAAAGCAATTCAACTGAAGTTAACAAGTACTACTTTTTCCATTTTAACCTTTTTGCTAATTAGATGTTTTCTTTTGCATCATAATAATAGCCTATGCTCAATTTTAGAGCCATCTACATCAGCTATTAATTTCTTTCCGGGCTATGAAGTGTTTGTTGTCTCATGTCTTGATGACGTCTCGTCTGGTAACCAGCCTGCATGAAGCCCCTCCAGGTGTTAAAGAAGCAGAGGGAAATGCAGCCAATCTGCAGTAAAATGCTGGTTTTATGGCCCTTGTCTGATGCTTGTTTAGTTCATTTTACCACAAGTAACACCGTAGTAAATGTCCCAAAATGACCTACTACCCTTTTCCAGACATCAGCTGTTTACTTTCTGCTACACTGAATGTCCTCTGGCGCTTCATTATGATGTTTCTTGTAGTGTCACAGCCACTAAGGAGTAGAGCAAAGGCTGAGATAACCCTTCTTAATCTGGAGACATGATCACTTGTGAGAGCACTTGCGGTGACAGCGATATTGTGCTGTTACCTCGGTGTAGCATAAAGGCTTATTTGCGTAGGGCAGGTTGCTGTGAGTGTTTTTCTCCATTTGAAGAAGAAGGTCATTCTAATAACTGAAGGCAGCCTTCAATAATGGATAGTGTGAGTGGTTCGACACACACAGTGGGGAAAGTGAAAGCGTAGAGGGAGGGCAGAGGAGGAGGAGGAGGCGGAGGAGGAATAGATGAGAGCTATAGAAAGATCTTACACGCTACTGTCCGCTGTGCTGCCGTCACACGTTCACGCTTGGTAACAATGAGGAGCTTTGTGCCGAAGATAGGCATGTGCAGACACACACACACACACACACACACACACACACACACACACACACACACACACACACACACACACACACACACACACACACACACACACAAAACCACCCACTGTAAAACACAGATACATAAAGGCAGATTCCTTGTCGGTCAGTGGAGCTGGTGTTTGTTTATAAGGAGGTGAGATGAACAAAGTGAGAATATCTCAGTGCAGAAAGCTGAGATATAAATGTGGGGTGTGTGCACGTGTGTGAACTATTCATGGTCAACAGCGGCAATGGAAACAAGAGTTTACATACTTTATTGAAAGTATGTACGAAACAGTTGCAGTGGGACAGAACTTTGTGTTGTAAAGCTTTGACATTAGAAGGTTTGTAGAGAAAATAATTTGATAAAAATGTCAAACAGCAGAAGAAGAAAGCTGTGATGGGATCCTCAGTACTACTTAATCAGCATGTTCACATGCACAATGTCAACTCAGTTACACTAAATACACAGATGAGGGTAATATTTGTAGATACTGTGTAATACTGAAAGGTTACATGAGGCACAGAGTTACAGCCTTTATGTAGGTGATAAATGTTTGATTAAAAATTAAAAGGACTTTTGCTTGTTGTTATCTCCAATGTCAGAGCCATTAAAGTGATAGTTCGGGTTATTTGACCGCTTGCACCGCTTCATCTTCCTGTCAAACCGCCCTTTGAAACTAGTTTGTGAACCGTTGAACTGCCATATTACTACGCACAAGCGCACCTACGGCGTGCGCTGTATTACTCTAGTTCCAAAGGTTATGAATATAATGTTTTAGTGAGAATTGGCTGTTATTGTTGCTCTATCTCAATTAGTATAACTTGAATGTAAATTTATGAAACAGCTTGTCTATTGTGGCTTTATCGCTTTAAGAGAAGACGCTTGAGGAGAAAATTAGGGAGTGAAGACGACATTAAGTAGGTATGCATATGTGTTAGTGTGTGTCACGATGAGTGTCTGCATGCATGGGTCCATGTGGTTGTTTATTTAGTCATGCAGTGACCATCATCTTTTTCTCTTCTCTGTTCCGCCGCTCTGGGAACGAGCCAGCGCACAGTCTGTGCAAACTCCCAAGTGGCCATCACGACATGAAAAAAAAACAAATGCACCTGTGGTGTTGCTCTTGCGCAGCTCAGGAAAGCTGATATGAGCCTTGGCAGGTTGACTATTGCCTCGAGGTTCATGCTGTCAAGCCCATCTGGCTGCGGCCAGTGCCAAATCATGCCCTGTCAGCCTTGGTTATGCTGCCGTCCACCTACATCCTTATGAACACCTCCAGGACGTAACCTGTCTACTGTCCCCGTCTTGCTCCTCTCACTTCCTGTGATCGTCTCCTCTTCCTTTTTCATTACATAACGCCAATGTTGTGACTGTTGTTGTGTTTAAAAGTGTTTAAAAAAACAAGTTTCTTAAAAAGGAACCCTGACGATTGAGGCTTGTAAGCCTTGTAAGATTAACGTTGGCATCAGTTATTTATAAATATAAGTGTTAAAATATGGGGCCTTTAAAGCTACTTGTAGACCAAAGTAAATCAAAGAGTGATCATGATACAACATCTTGTGTCGACACAGAACCATGTTGCAAAACGATTTACACATTTACAAAACTATACAGAATAATCTTACAAAATGTTCGGTGGCACCTACTCCTACCTGATTTACTTCAACCGTAAGTCAAAGGAAAAGAGCATCACAGCACAGCCCACACTGTTTAACAAGTGCAGCAATACAA